ACCCATACTGGCGGATGGGAAGGACCGTTCCCTGAAGCCCCGTTCACATTGAGCGATTTTATGGCGCAGTAATTCCCGCGATATCGCGGCAAATTACCACGCGATATCGCGCTCCAATGCATTCCAGTGGGGCAAAGGGTCCTGCTGTCGCGGGTCGTGTGTCGCTACAGCAGGACCCTTTTTGGAGCGGATTTAGCCGCGATTCAAGCTTGCTCAATGCAAGCTTGAACGCGATATCGCGCGGCAAATCTCGCGATATCGCGCGATATGCAAATTGCGCGACAAACGCGCGATTTGCATATCGCGCAGTGGGAACGGGGCCTGAAAGGTAAGTATAGCGGGGGGGGGGTTAAGGAGTCTGGACCAGATTTGTGCGGGTAGGTTACGAGTGATTTTTGGACGGCTCTGCAGCCGTTTAAAATCACTTATACAAAACGGCTCCCACACTACATTTAGCCATGCTGCCCGAAACTGCCTGTCCCGGCCGTCGGGACGAAAGGAATTCCACACTCCTGCATACTAGAGTTGTTTTTGATAATACAATCAAAACTTACTTGGAAAAAAAAATCCCTTTTATGTAGCGAGTGCTGCCTTCCGTCTGCCCATCACTTTCATCAACTTCCTGGATTCCCAGTGTGCTTTGCGTCTCCTTCCCTGCTGCATGATGTGATGCAATCTTGATTTCTCAAAACTACATATCCCATCATGCATTGCTGCCAGCAAGTTACATTGTTCACATGCCGAGTTGTAGTTTAGAAGGCAGGCTCTGTGACAGTGGTGACACAAGTAGTGCATATTAACATAACTATATCCCGACAGTTCTGAGCTGCGCTGCAGCTGGGAAGGATCTTGACATTATCATCGTAATGTCTGCCTCTCGAGTCAAAGCCAGCTGTGCCCACCTTCTTCCCCATCCGTCCCTCCAGTCAGTGCTGTAGGAATGGAGAGGGGAGGGGGAAATTTCGGTGGGGAGTGGTGACTGACCGTCACAGCTCTCTGCAGGGAGAAGATCGGGAACTGAATGATCGGCGGTATGTGATCGTTTAGTTCTCAATCCATACAGCTGACGCGTGACAGCTTCAGTGTCGTGTGTCAGCTCTAATTATGGGGATGAGTGCATATCACTTTCCCCATAATTCTCCATTAAAGAATAAGTGAACTTTTAGACAAAGTGCACTCATTCTTTTTGCCCCCCTCCCTGACATAACTAATCCCACCCTCACCCTTAGTTGTATACCTAAGGAGACCTGAGGGCCGTTGCTCTGTTTGTTGACATCCAGCACTGCATGTCTCTCTCCCCTGGCCGCGTTGAAGACTTCTATGGGGGTGTAATGTGCAGGTGCTGCCAGCAGGGGGAGTAATGCAGCACTAGATGTAAACAATAGCAGAGCTGTGCCCATCAGATCACGGTAAGTTTCAATAGGCAGAGGGGGTCAAAAAGGATAAGTGCACTTCTCCTTAAAGTTTTACAGGAGAGCTTCTCTCAAACACACTATGTTAATATCCTGCAAAAGTAAACAGACCAAACTCATCTAAGTACACAGTGTGACTACGCAAGTAATTTGCATGTATTTATGCACTCCAATAGGACTAAAGTCAGCAACAGAATACATGTTTACCGCCTATAGTAACAATACTGGCAACAGCTGTTACTACATGGCAGAGTAGCACCTCTCATCCACAAGTCAGGAGAGAACGGCATCAAAGATTCTGCATAATTTCACAGCAAGCCTTTGCATAATATTGCAACTGCTCATGGACTTCATTAAAAAGGAACAGCTAAACAAGGACAGATGCACCACAAAGATGCAAAAAGAGCTAAAAAGCAAATGAAAGCGGGAGGATTTATAACAACTGGAGCAGCTAGGCACTGTCGTCGACGCTCTGCCGCCCCGAGGCCGGGCCTCGGTGGCCTTGTGGGAAATCCGGGCCTGACTGTAACCAATCAGCTTCTCCCTTCAGTCTGTTCAGTTAAGCTGTGAAAATGAAAGCTAAGGCTGACTGGTTGCCATGCACAGCTGCCCCAGATTCTGTCACTCCTCTGTTTCTCTATGGTACCTGCTTTTGACATGGTATAGACCAGTGGTGGCGAACCTTGGCACACCAGCTGTGCCAAAACTACAAATCCCAAGATGCATCTGCCTCTGGGAGTTATGTCTGTGGCTGTCAGAGCCTTGCAATGCCTCATGGGACTTGTAGTTCCAAAACAGCTGGAGTGCCAAGGTTCGCCATCACTGGTATAGACTCTGGTATAGTTCATGTATGTGAAAACAAAAACCGGGAGAGGTTGCCCAGCTATTTAACGCACAAAGAAATACAGGGATAACGAGCTGACGTGCTTCTCACATTCTTTGTGAAGTGTGTAACGCTGAATTTAGAGAGACATCAAACAGTATTATTTATCTTTCTATGATGACAGTGAACAACCAATACTGCCACCTTGCAGCGGTGCGGTCCGGAGTTCCATTCAGATCAAGGCACTGATTGCACCAAAGTTTGTACATGCATTGGTTTCCAAGGGCATAACCTTAGCAACAGCATCACATGACAATCCTATGGACCAGGAGATGCCGATGACCCTGTTCACAAGTGAAGAGAATAGTCAAAGCTGACCCAGCCTTAACTAAATCAAATGATAGAAAAATGTATCTGAGGTATCTGAGGAACTTCTGTTAGAAACGTATAAGCAATAAGAATACTGTAGTTTTTATTTGTTTATTAAATTACACTTAGCAGTAGTGGGTCAGCCCTTTAAGGGCCCATTCGCATCTATGCATCTTAAAGCGGAACTCCAGGATAAGCAAATATAGTCTCATTTTACGAGTCATCCGTGTTATTTGAATCCTGGTGTGGAGCGGCTGCTGGGCAGCTAATATCAGGGCTTGTAAAGGCATCTGGTGCACACAAAGTGAAATTATATCCTTTGCGGCTATTAAAGAATATATTTTAAACAAATCTTTTGTGCCTGGAGTTCCACTTTAATGCATGTGCACAGGCTATCCATGATTATATGGTGCCAGCTTACATCTGTGTGTTGAAATGTCATGTCCATTGTATTGAAGCATCCATGCACATTTCAGGGCCTGGTGACAACAGCATTGCATGCAAATATGTGATTATTAATAACACGCGTACAAAATCATAAAACTGCACCCAGGAAGGTGTGAATCACCTAAAGAGAACCTGTCACTCTAGAATTCTAGCAGATACTAGTCAAAAAAAAAAAAAGGATAAATTGCTGGGTTGTCATATTCATCCTCGGGCTTCCCATGACATTTAACAATGTCAGATCCTGTATTTCTCGGGAGATTGGTTCATTTTACATGCCGGACTGTGCCTTTATGTACTGTACATAGGACTTTTAGGTCTGCTATAAGCTTACCACACATTACAATCTGACCATACAATCTTCTTTAGGTCTGCAAACAACTATGTAGTGCAGGGGTCTGCCTGGCTGAATACTGATTGATTGGTGAGATTAGGTAAGGATCACCATACATGTTACAATCTGACCATACAATCTTTGTACAAACAACTTTAGATTTATCAAATCTATGCATAGGAGGACCTACCTAAACAACCCAGTCAATCTGCAATCTCTACACAAATCAGACAGGCCCTTGCACTACATAGTTGTTGGTAGATCTGAAGGAGATTGCACAATCAGATTGTAACATGCGTGGTAAGCTTTAGGGTCACCACTCACGGTACAATCTGACCATACAATCAATTTTAAACTTACTAAATCTATGTAATAGGAGCACCTGCTTAATGCACTTAGTCAATCAATCTACAGCCAACCAGGCAGGTCCTCGCACTACATACTTATTGGTAGATCTAAAGGAGATTGTAAAATCAGATTGTAAGGTTTGTGATGAGCTTTAGGCTGGCCATACAACTGTCAATTTTTTTCGTTCAACACACAGGCTGAATGAAAAAAAAATTGACACGATTCCTCCATCAACACAGTGTGTCGATCAAGGAATCGCCGCTGTCTGCATTGTATTCTGACAGGTGCACCCGACACCTGTCAGAATACCCGATCAGAGCCGGCAGCTCTTTGGCTGCCGGCTCTGATCGTAGGAAGATTTTCCAGCTGCCTCCGTCGATCATCTGAAAGCGAAAAGCGAACCGACAGCCCCACACACTGTGCGCATTTCGACCGGGACAATAAAAACTGTCCAAAATTCTACCAGTATTTCGGCACCTTTAGACTGATCATACGCTATCCAATCTCCTACAGACCTACCATCAAATACATAGTGCAAGTTGCTGCCTGATTTCATGGGAATTGAATGAATGGTTCAGGTTGGTCCTTGTAGGGCATAGTTTGGGTAAATCTAGAGGACAGTGTACAATCTGATTGCATAGAGTATGGCTCACAGTTGATTGTATTGAAGAGATAGAAGTATATATCTGGCTGTATATGATATAAATGATGACAATGCCCCCCCCCCTTCTCAGGAGGTAATCGCACCTTGCTCGTCCAAGGTGACACACATGCAGTGATGACAGCTCTCCTCCGGATTGGCTGTCAGTGCTGGAATGATGTGCGCTCAGGGCTGGCGGGGGATCGGAGAAGAATTATATAACGACAGCAGCTTTGCACAGAATTGACCCTCCCGGGACAACATACCGCTGAGCATCCTCCCGGAGCCCTCCCCTCTATGATAATACATGCAAAGTCTTCGGTGAGAGCTCTTTAATTGTCTATTTATAGCAATGCAATCCCCGTGCCCCCCCCACCCCCCGCCGCGGCCCAGCCTTAACTATTTGCAGCCTTCTTGC